GAGCGCCTGCTATTGAGAGTAGCTGTTCCATGCTGCCCATTCTCGAATAACCTCCCATTTCAGATAAGGAGGCTGTTCCAAACGAAGAAATCAGCTGTGGTCAAACGGTCGACAAGAAGTCGAAGCTCCGAAAGAACGTGGTTCCGGCTAGAGCAAGAATCTGGAAGCTCGGTTGGCGAAAGCCTTTATCATCCTGTGCCACCTGACTTGACCTGACCTGAACTGATCACCGAATCAATTTGATCCAGCGGGCCGTGCTCTCAAATTCTCGCCAGCGGGCATTACCCATCAATCAAAAACCGACAAGTTTATAAAATCCGGGACCATTGGACTGAGCCTTGAACTCATGAATTCCTTCAAGAATTCAAGACTTCAAAATGTAGCTCGTTTGTTTAACTGTGTCTCTGCAATATTTCAGGCGCGTAGAGTGGCCTTGACCAGAGACGAGAAGTTGTTTATTAATGCTTGTGGTTGTAAGTCTTTTTTATTTTGCTCATTGACACCCCTGTAATGGTCTATAGTCCAACGCCGCTGTTATCAACAGCGCTGTCAATGACAGTGTGATGCCACCGTCCGGGCATGAGGCTGATTATTTTAGCAACCCGGATACCACTCCTATGATAGTACACAGCCTTATGTGCTATCGTCAGAGCGGTGAATCCCAGGAATTTGCTAGAAGGGCTATAGAAAGTCTCGTTAAGAAGCTGAAAGAGAAGCGCGAAGACTTGGAGTCTTTGATAACTGCCATTACCACTAACGGTACCCAACCCAGCAAATGTGTTACTATACAACGAACCCTAGATGGCAGGATGCAGGTAATACATACATGATGCATGTCCCAAATTGCAGATTGCTGGAAGGAAATGCATTCCTCATGTAATTTATGCAAAAATTTGGAGGTGGCCAGACCTACATCGTAACGAACTAAAACATATGAAATTTTGCTCCTTTGGATTTGATCTCAAGCAAGATAGTGTCTGTATAAATCCCTACCACTATGAGCGCGTCGTCTCCTCGGTGGATTTAGCTGCGCTCAGTTTGAGTCCATGCTTGGATCATGAAGGTTAGTTTCCCACCTACTAGGTCCTTTCCTGGTTATTTTCTAAGGGGAATTGGGAACTCATGGTCAGTAGTCTTCTGTCGTATTAGTTATTTTGATGATCTCTCTAATTTGATAAGGGAATGCAGTTCTGGTGGTCTATTTTCTCCCTGGAACATGCAATTGATATTGAATTTTAGTTAAATCGAGGACGTAGTGTTTAGTTCCAGACTTCCGGTTTTCTCAGTTCTGAAGTAGAACAGTTTGATAGCATTGTGAACAATTTTGAGGGCTTGTGCTCT